AATCTATTGTCCTTTACCTAGGAGGGTCTCCTTGGGATATCACTTTTCGGTCGACACAACTATAACTGAAATAAATAGTTATTGAATGAAGCGATGCAGTGTCTCATTAAATATATTCTATTTCTCTTTAGACATAAATGAATTGTTAATAGGAATGGGGGGCTTTTGTCGAAGGCAAATACACATAATGTAGATACTGTACTCTATATGATAGCAGGGCTATTCTGCGATTAATGTTTTATTAGTGAAATTTTATTAATAAAAAACTTTCTCTTGCGTAAGACCTCACGGCCAAGCATTTGAAAAAAATATTATTCTTCATTGTTTGAATGTGATGCGGGGATATGGGGATACGGGAATATACTAACTTTTTTTGTCTCTAGGAATAAGCACCTTTTCAGAAATAAGGAGTGATCAGGTATAGATATGATATCATTTTCATATACAGCAGATAATCGCGCCCTCACGCAATTATTCAATGCCTTTATTTTGGAACGGATTCTTTTCCATTTATACTAGCGTATATAAATTTATATTTTTGCTGTGAATCGTAAAACATATAAAGGGGTATTTCTAGAGAAGCGTCTTGGCATTTTTTTTTTCTCCTACAAGTGAAAAAATAAAATAAGACTTTCCTATTCTCCTACAAGTGAAAAAATAAAATAACAATTTCACATAAAGTTAATAAAACAAAAATCTACCTAAAAAATGTTTTCAAACTCTGATATTTTCTTGATTGTAGTATTCAGCGTCGCAATTGCTATTTTCGAAATGCTAACCCGTGGTGTCCTAACAATGGATATGATCCAGGGCATTTTTTCGGGAAACATAACCATTTATATAATCTTTGTCGTTGCTATCATCTTTTTTCGTAAATATCTAAAGGGATCGGGAGATAATAATCTCGAAAAAACTATCTTAGCATTAAGTAATGAGCTTCAAAGAATGCGTACAGAAGCTGAATGGAGAAACGAAACAGCATCTCAAGGTAGGTTATAGTCTTAAACGTATTAAAATACACACGACATGCATATATACTTATCTGCGCCATATTTTTTCTAGCAGGATCTAATCGATTCTCTTCCACAAGTCACGTTTCCATGGGATATTATTCCGAATATACGGATGAATATGAAACTTATTGGGTCGAATTTACGGCTCTTTTTAATAATAGGAGGAAAAAAGAAGGTCGTTCTCCAACACAATTATACAATATTTTATCGATCGAAATTGGTCTTAGTGCTAGCACATTAGCTAATTTTTATCGACATCAAAAATCGCCAAGAAAAACTTCTATAGATAAAATTATCGAATGGGTTGAAAAGGAAGGAAATAAAAAAGTAGGTAGTTTTTCTGATAGTAGCAGTAGTAATAGTAGTAATAACAGTAGTGTGAGGTTCCGAATAGTAACATGTTAGTCCGGAGCGACCATATATCTGATATAGTCAATACGTGATATACGTGATTGGTTCATTTAGTTACACTTGTGCTCCGGACTTAACAATCAGCAT